AAGACATTTTCTAGCAAAAAAATACTGTTTTAAAATGTAAACAAAAAGTGCCAGAAATGGTTTGGGGCTAACAAGCTGAAGTTAACAGTTGATTGTCTACCATGCACAGCTGCACCAGATTCTGAGTGCTCCAGTTTTAGTAAATCTCCGCCATAGAGAGGATGAATCTCCCTAATGGGACACAGACAGCAGTAATACCTCTCCACACTATCCACAACTAAAAAAAAAAAAGGGTTTTCTATTAGTTATACTTTAAGTAAATACAAAATATCTTTCTAAATGTCAAATATTGAATGAAAATAGCATAAAAAAATCACAAACATATATAAATGCTCTTCTTCCACCAATATAAAATACAATGTTGTCTTTTTAATTGGGACTGTGTGTGATTTTTTTTTTTCATTCAGTATTTGACATTTAGAAAGATATTTTGTATTTACTTAAATACCCTTCTTCTCCCAATAAAAAAGACAACATTGTATTTTTTATTGGTAGAAGAAGGGCATTTCTTTAATATTTGACATTTAGAAAGAAATTATGTATTTACTAATTTAACTATTTTTTGGCACACCAAGTGTGTCCTGTGAAAGCAGCTTCCCTTTGACTGGTATTCTAGTCACCTTTTTTCTTTTGTATTAATACAGCTGCTGCAGGGACTGCACTGGCTTTGTGAGTTGGGATATTTCTATGGTTTAAGCCATTTTACCTCATTAGCAATAAAAACTGATTCTTGGTGTCATAGGATAAATACTGTATACGGTATTTTAGTAGCATTTTTTGTAAATGCTCAAAAATGTTTTTGAAAAATGCTGAGCGGTATTTTACCGCATTTGTTAAAGTGGTCAATACCGCTTCGTGAATGGAGCCCACGGTCATATGTAGAGGATGGTCACAAACAGTGGCAGACTGACAACTCATGGGGCCCCTGTGTCCATGCCCAAGCTCAAAAAAGCCTATGAAAAAGGTACCAGGGGCATCTCATGGGGCCCCCTACTGACCCCGGGCCCACAGGCAGTGCCCGAGTTTCCAAATGGTCAGTCCACCCCTGGTCATAAAGTTGTAGAGAAGACTGTAAAAATCACACAATTCTTTGATTAATCATATTCCTTTGACAAAAATACAATTTTGTATCAAACAAACCTTTGGCCACTGATCACTACGTTGATTTATTCATGTACAGTATATGTTTGGAACATACCATTAGAGACTGATCCAGGGGGTGGTGGTAGGGGTAATGTGCTTCTTCTTTCTGAAAGTAGCAGACATAGAATTAACAAGGTTTAGCTTGACAACCGTACAGACAGAAAGCATTGCACAAACTTACCATCTGACACTGGTGGAGGAGGGGGAAGATTCTGGCGTTTATCTGCAAATAAAATAGATAAAATTACATCATTTTCAGGGTTGCTTCACACTCTTCATTTTGTGTAAAAAAAAGAAAACTTTTCAAATAGAAATGTGGAAAATACAGTCAGATCAGTGCTAACAAATAACAGACGAGCTCTTACACCGAGGTCTGGATTTCTGGAGTATTATTTTAACGTGGAATGGAATGCAAACAGTGAAGGTTAGCTGTGTTGTAGAGACAATTTAGAAATGTTAATTGCACCTAAGCAGAACCAGGGCCGGATCTAGTCTTTCTGATATGGGGGTGCAGTAAAAAAATGTCAGGGGGGCAGGGGAGCGTACAGGTGTCAGTAGAGCAGTTTACAGGGGTCAGCAGGGCATACGACAGGGGTCAGTAGGGTGGAGAACAGGGGTTATCAGGTAAGCAGAATGCAGGATGGGGTCAGGAGGGCAGAGGACAGGGGTCAGCAGGGCAGAGGACAGGGGTCAGCAGGGCAGAGGACAGGGGACAGCAGGGCATTGGACAGGGGTCAGCAGGGCATACGACAGGGGTCAGTAGGGTGGAGAACAGGGGTTATCAGGTAAGCAGAATACAGGATGGGGTCAGCAGGGCAGAGGACAGGGGACAGCAGGGCAGAGGACAGAGGTCAGCAGAGCATACGACAGGGGTCAGTAGGGTGGAGAATAGGGGTTATCATGTCAGCAGAATGCAGGATGGGGTCAGCAGTGCAGAGGACAGGGGTCAACAGGGCAATGTAAAGGGCTCAACAAGGCAGAACAAGGCAGAAGACAGTGGTTAGCAAAGAAGAGGACAGAGTCCCTGCTGGCAGAGTCCCTGCTGGCAGAGCACTTAGCCTAGGTACTCAGATCTCCTCTTCCCCACACAACACATAGCTGAGATCAGATTCCCTTACAGACACAGCCTCCATATGCACAGTGTGTAGCTGGAGCTTGCAGCTGCCATTTCGATCAGGGAATTTCACAGGTCAGAACTGCAACATAGCACCCTGCCACACACTGTGCATATGGAGGCTGTGTCAGCTATGTGCTGTGTAGGGAGGAGATCTGTTGAGTGCCCTGTGTGCTGGGCAGGAGGTGCTGGGACAAGGACATCTAGCTCCCAGGATGAAGATGACAAACTGCGCCCCCCCCCCCTGATGTGTACGTATCATGTCTCAGCACAAATCCCTTCCTTGATCCCAACACTGATCAGCACACTCACTATGAATTTCCTCCGCAAGTCAAAATACTCCCCGAACAATGCAAAAATTCCCCCTCCTCCTAGTCCAAATCCCCCATTTTAGCACACATCTTTGCCCCTCAATCCTACCTCCCAGCTCAAATCCCCCCAATTCCCCCTCCTAGCACAAATCTCCCATACCCAAAGAATTCACTACCTCTAGCACACATCCTCTTTCCCCTCAAATTTCCCATCCTATCACAAATCTGCTGAGCCCCCCCCACCCCCCCCCTTCATCAGACCATGGTGAAGGAGCATGCCACAGCTACTGCTGCTGTACCTGGAGCTGACATCACTCCTGCCTGCCTTAAGATCCACACCGACCAGGAAGTACTGGGAACCACCAGCACAGCCAAGGACAGTGCTTTGGAGACTTGCCTGCAGCGGGACCGGCCAGGAGTTGCACAGCGGTCCACACCAGTTTGACAAGTGCTCATTTGACTACTATTGTGAGTTGCCAGTTTTGTGGAATCAGTTATTTGCTTCTATTGCTGCACTTAGATGGCGCTGCTTCTCTCTCTTTTATGATTCCAACAGTGAGCCTATTTTAATCTCCCAGATTTAAAATCAGTTTTGAAAGCTGTCTGTCCTCAGATTTCAATTACAGGTGGCTGTCATATCTTTGTACCTTGTCTGTGCTGCCGTTTTTGTAACTTCTCCTCCACAACAGATTGAAATGTGTCAGCTTCTTCTTCATTTGCAAAATTTAGTCCAGCCTGGCAGTCCTGCAGATAGGATGCAAAGCATGAAATTACTACACATTGCGACATCTAATTAGACATGTGCACGCTGGAATTTTTTCTTCATTTTGAATGCATTTGCTAATTAAAGAATTTTCTTTCTTCATATTTGTTATGTTGAACAGATTTGTTTTTTTTAATGTGTTTGAAATCTTAGGCGTTTCATATATTGGTTGTTATTGGAAGGATTCAATATTTTTGAATCCGATCCAAATTTATTGTGAAGAATAGCTGGTTGTCAGGGAGCGAGTGGCTGCCACATCCTTAAAGCAGAGCTCTACCCAAAAGGGGAAGTTCCACTTTAAGGACTGCTCTCCCACTCTCCATTAAGAATTGGCACCTTTGGGGGGGGGGGGGGGGAGCAGGTACCCGAATTTCCCTCCCTCCCTTCCTGTAGTCTTTTGGGACATGTGACAGATCCCATAAGACTACAGGACCATTCATGAATCGCAGAGCTACTCACGCATGCGCAGTGGGTACCCGGCTGTGAAGCCGCAAGCTATCACAGCTGGGTGCCCACACTGAAGATGCCAGCCTCCTGGAATCCAGGACGGCCGGTGAAACGGCTGCGGGGGACACACCACGGGACCGAGGGACAGGTAAGTGGCTGTTTTTTTAAAAGTCAGCAGCTACAGTTTTTGTAGCTGCTGTCCTTTATTTTTTGACAGGTGAGTGGAACTCCATTTTACCAACCATGACCCATCTTCTGTCAGCGGGTTCCCCACTGACAGCAGAATGTAAACAAAAAAGTGTCAGCATTCAAAAATTTTTTTACAAAAACAGCATGGGGATCCCCTTGCAATCCATGCCAAGCTCTTTGGGTCTGGTATGGATTTTGAGGGGAACCCCACACCAAAATGTAAAAAAAAAATGGCATGGGGTCCCTCCAGAATCCATACTAGATTCGAGCATGCAGCCTAGCATGCCAGGAAAGCGGGGGGGCAATCGTGCACCCCCCCTCCTGAATCTTACCAGGCCACATGCCCACAACATGGGGGGGTGCTTTAGGGGAGGGGGCTCCCCCCCAAAGCATCTTGTCCCCATGTTTATGAGTACAAGAGCCTCTTCCCCACAACCCTGGTAGGTGGTTGTGGGGATCAGGGAGTGACTTATCAGAATCTGGAAACCACCCAGATCCAGGTGCCCATCTGAACAAGTTTGGGGTACACGGTACCCAAACTCATTCACCCCAAAAAATTTCAAAAGTAAAAAAGTTATTGACCAGTCCTAATTTTGTCTGCTTTCTGCAGCCAAAGCTCCACGTTGAAGTGGCTTTTACAAAGTGGATAGATTGAGGTGTGAAAGAGGACGGGAGAAAATGTGGCCTTGTTGAGGGTCTGAATCTGGCTGCTTAATACCAATTGAATCTCATATCATAAATTAAAAATACAACTGCGTGTATCCATGTACGGTGGCATACCTGGCACAGGTCATACATTACTAAAACTGCCTACAGACCCTGCATGTGCATAGACAATACATGACCTCCAAATATACATCAGTCATTGCAGGAAATGTAAAGAAACTCACGTCTGCTGGAAAAGTGTGGAAATATGGTCGAGGTGTTTGGTAGGACAGCTGCTGATATATTTCCTGTTCCCAAACCAGCTTCTCTTCCTGGAAAACAAAATGTAGTTGTGATCACAGTCAAGAAACATCCAACTCTGTAAGATCTGATCGGGCAAAGGACTGCCCTTGTACCCCTCATGCCCAACCTGTGGCCCTTTGGCACTATTTGTGCGGTCCTTTGGGGACTCTGAACACAGTCATTTGGGTTTATTTGGCCTAGGTGCTTACTCAGGATACTGAGGATAAGTTATTATTTATCATGGCTTCTAGTAGTTAAAGTGTTACTAAACCCACAACAGTAAAATCAGACTGTATTTGCAGTAAATCATGCTTGGTATACTAACTGTGGAACCTAAGGGGTTAATCCTCTGCATTGTGTAAAAAGGCTGTCTTCTCTGCCACTCCTCTTGTTGAATTGACCACCTGATACAGACTGAACCTGTGGTCATATGCACATGCTCAGTTTGGTGTGAGTTGCTAGAGAGGTTTTTTTTTCTTGGGAGGGTGCATGTGATCAGCACAGGGCCAATGAGCACTGTCCAGACAGAGGTCAGGAGTTTCACATCCTCCTAGAGCAGAAAGAAAACTCTTCCTACAAGCTTTAACCAGTGCTCTGCTGAAGTCACAAGACTGCTCTAATTGCTGATGAGAAAAGTTATTTAGCAGTTTATATTTACTAAAATAATTACATTTCCATGTTGTGTGCACTGTGGGAGACCAGATATGGTGGATGCACGGTCCTGGGGATAGTAACACTTTAAATGGTTTGGTTTATTTCTTTCACACTGTCTTATGTTTTCTCTTCTGTCCCTTCCTTTTCTATTTTTATGTTTATTTAATCCTCTGATCTAATTTTGTATAATTGTTCTGGCTAAAAGAAACCTTAAATGTGGTAATGTTTTTGTGACAGCATTGATTTGTAAAGGGGCTGTAAAGAAGTGATTTCCAGCAGTCTCATAATATGTGTCTCCATCCTATTAACCTGAAGTATGTCCCCAGTGTACAGCAACTAAATGTGTGAAATATGCCTGAACGCTTCATTATTCGGAAATTCGGATGTATCCAAATTTCCAAATTACAATAGTGACTAATTTAAACGAATCCGAAATAACGAAACAAAATTTAATCCGAAAAGACAAATTATCCAAATTTGAATTATAGTTGAAAGGGAAATTGAATTTGAAAACGACTATGAAATGTAAACGTATTGTTGACCATCGCTCATTTCTTTCAAAGACTGTGTGTGTATTAATGTTAGAATATGACTATCTTCTGAAATGCAAATATTCGAAAGGAATAGAATAAAACAGAATGGAATAGAAAATAAAAGAATATAATAGAACAGAATAGGAAATAAAGAAAATAATAGAATAGATAAGAGAATAGATTAGAACAGAATAAAATAGAAAGAAAATAGCTTTCTTCTGAAATTCAAATTTTTAAAAGAATAGAATAGAATAAAAGAGAATAGAATAGAAAATAAAAGAATAGAATAGAAAATAGAGTAGAATAGAATAAAATAGAAAGTATGTAGCCGTCTTCCGAAATGTTAATTTTCAAATAGAATAGAATAAAATAGAATATAGCAGTCTTCCAAAATTTTAATTTCAAATAGAATAGAATAAAAAATAATAGAATAGAAAAGAATAGAGTAAAACAGAAAATAATATAACTTTATATAATAGAATTGAAGAGAAAATAAAAGAATAGAATAGAAAAAATAGAATAGATTAGAATAGAATATAAGAATATAGCTGTCTTCTGATACTCGAATTTCGAACAGAATAGAATAGCATAAAATAGAAAGAATATAGCTGTCTTCTGAATTTCGAATAGAATAAGACCAGCTATTCTTCATGATTTTTAATTGATTCAATATTTTCTAATGCTTGGAATCCATTGTAAAAATTTGAATCAGGTCAAGAAAGGAATAAATGAAACAAAACTAAACTAAATTAAATTAGTACCTTAACGAATCAATCTGAAATCTTTAGGTATGGTAAATATATCGTAAATGTGCACCATTTCGACGGTATTTACATGCTGTCCATTGAGAGAGCTATGCCAAAGCCGTCACTACCAGGCACATGTGCAGGAGTGACGTCATCCCGCCTCGGCCACTCAAACAGAAGGCAAACCCAAAAGGAAAACCAAGTGAAAGAGGATTCTCTGTCAGTGATAACAGGGCATTGCTGGAGGGATCCGTTTCACAGGTACTTCTGTCATAATGTGCTACTATGTGATGCATACTAGCACATTATGCCATTACCCCTGTGGGGGTTTTTTTTTAATGCGGTTTACTACCTCTTACTAACTTTACTACCGGAAAGTTAAGCACCACTACCATACAGTAAAGGTATCTTCAGTGAGCAGTTAAGGTTTTCAGGTTTTTCAAAAGAAGGTTGCAACATCGTAGTGACCTCCAAGCATATATGTGGGAACAGGGCCGATGCTTCCAATAGGCAAACTAGGTGGCTGCCTAGGGCACACTGCCACCTAGGGGCGCCTGGGCACAGCACAGGCCAGCACTCTCTCCGTGTGGGACACTGCCACGTCATGAATGATCCTTCAGCTGAGAGGAGGGGCGGCAGAGGGGAGGAAGAAAGGACAGAGGAAGATGCTGGGTGTCTGGGGCCAGTGTAGCAGCTGAGCTGCAGCTCCTTCCAGTGTTCCTCTCAGACTCAGTCCCTTACTGCAAGCCAGCTGGTGGCTGCTGATCTCTGTGAAGTTCCAGCCCTTCTCTTTCCATTCATCAGCAGAGGCAGAGCTGCGTCTGGAAGATAATGTCTGACTCTGATGTCTCATGTCTGTGTGATTATGACCCATCCTGCCGGCCACCCATAACATGTGCAATGTGTCAGTGAGTGATGACATCATCACAATTCCACAGCCTGCTCTTCTAGTGCCTACTGATCTGTGTCAGTGTCGGTGGTGATGTGTTGTGTTGGATCTGTCACTGTGTGGAATCGCTCAGTTCAGCTGCCTGCTGTCACAGCATTTTATTTCCCCCCATTGCCTGGGGAATTCCAGCCTGGGATCTGTCAGTGTGGATCCATCATCCTCCACTCACTGCAACTGTCACCCTGCCACTGCCAGCCACAGATACAGTCCATCCGTAACACTGATTTTGTCTTTAACATTTTGTGCTGGTGGCATCTTATGGCACTTATTTTTGCATATTAAAAGAGATTTTGCAGTTTCATGTTTTATCGATTTAATATTTTCAACAGTTTTTTTTTTGAGGGGGGGGGGGGTGCAAGTACTGTAGCTAGTCTTTCCTAGGGCACAAAATAATCTAGCACCGGCCCTGTGTGGGAACTATCCAAAGCTAGCCAGGGCACTCTATCTGACCAAAACCATTAATTCGTCTCTTTAACATCTTGTTTTGACAGGACGTCATATGACGCCCAGTCACAACGGCGAGTGTCCCGCATGGCCGTCAATCTGCTATAGGCCGGGCGGGACACTCACTGTTGCGACTGGGCGTTATATGACGTCCTGTCAAAATGAGCCGCTCACGCGGCCACGGGGCCACGCAGTGGTGCGATCTGTCACCGGCTGTGTCCAGACACAGCCGATGACATATCACTACACCGGCCCGTTGCCAGTGTCATGTGATCACTGTGACCAATCACAGCAGATCACATGTCAATTGTTTACAATGGATGGCTTCCTGTCATGCCATCCATTGTATACAATTATGTTGTAGGCTGTAACTGGTCAAGGCAGTCACATGATACAGACAGGGCCAATTACAGCCCATCTGTGTCATGTGATCAGCTTTGCCCAATCACAGCTAATCACAACAAAAGACTGAATGAATCAGTTCCATTCTGTAACAATGATTGCAAATATCGATGAAATACACTGGTATTAGCAATCATAATGTGTTATAAAAAAAAAACCAAAAACAAATCCTGATCACTTGCCCAGAGTAGTTCAATATTACTATGGTAACATTGTATTGCTTTGGCCACAGTGTGCTGAAAAATAAAATAGTAAAAAAAAGAAAAAATGTAATAAAAAAAAAAAAAATCGACACATTTGAAAAAAAAAATACAAATGCAATTATTATTATTATTTTCACCAAAGAAATGTAGCAGAATACATTTTGACCTACATTTATGAAGAAATGTTATTTATTTGCAAGATTTTATAACAAAAACAAAGAAAAGTGTGTTTTCTTTTTAATTTTCATGTGTTTTTTGTTTTATTTATTTTTTCAGTGGTGAATAAATACCACCAAAAGAAAGCTCTATTTGTGTGAAAAAAAATGATAAAACGTTCGTATAGGTACAGTGTTGCATGACCACGCAATTATTCAAAGTGCGACAGCGTTGAAAGCTGAGAATTGGCCTGGGCAGGAAGGGGGTATAAGTGCCCGGTATTGAAACGGTTAAGCTACATTTACTCGGACATTTGCATCTGACAGCAGCTGAACGCAGTAATCTGCACCAGAGAAAGATAACATATTTCCTGCAGATAGTTGTGGTTTGTAAATGAGTTTCACTGTGTTTAGCTACGTCAGCATTTTCAGATGTTATGCCCCAGGTACCTCCTGCTCCACTTTGTTGTTAGTTTTCTGAGCAAGGGGTTAGAGGTGTATATCATTGAAATGGAGTGTAGGGCAAAGATGGTACTTACCATTGAGTGCCTGCTTGAGAGGAGAAGAAGATTGAGGGTAGGTTCACACGCACGGCACTGCTTTCAAAAACGCACCTCACTCCCCCCCGCTTTCCTTTCATTTCTTTTCTCTAACCCTCCCGAGGTAAGATTCAATGGACCATGGGAGGACTTTGGCAAATGATATTTTCCCTGTACCACTGATGATACACTCTTTTTTTTTGTCTGTTTTTTTTTTGTCTACTATCTAATGATTATACCTAAGATACCTTCCTGTATGTTTCTGTATTTACTTGTTAAAATTCTAATAAAGAAATACTGAAACTAAAAGGCACCGCACTAACCTACATGGCATCGAGGTACCATGCGATTTGGTGCCGGCAAACGTACTGCATCGCCATCTGCATTTGGGGTGCCGTTAACAATTACTTTGCACCTGCATGCAGATCATAAGGGCAGTACAGTAACCTGCAGTGCATGCACATGGAACTTTGCCTTTTCCACACCGTATTCTGGTATGAGCTGGCTCTGAAGCAGATAGAGAGGCAGAGAGAGGCAAATGGGTACATCCTCTAACATCAAGCATCTAACTAGGGCAGTGATGGTGAACCTTTTGTAGCCCGAGTGCCCAAACTGCAACCCAAAACCCACTTATTTATCGCAAAGTGCCAACACTGCAATTAAACTGGAGTACTGAGGCTTTAGTTTAGAAAAAACAACCCATACATTAACATCTTTTTTCTTAAAAGAAAAACACAATAACAGAGCTTCCACTGACCACCAGTGCAAGGGGGCAAAGTTCCACTGACCACCAGCGCAAGGGAGCAAAGTTCCACTGACAACCAGCGCAAGGGCGCAAAGTTCCACTGACCACCAGCACAAGGGAGCAAAGTTCCACTGATCACCAGCACAAGGGGCAAAGTTCCACTGACCACCAGCACAAGGGGGCAAAGTTCCACTGACCACCACCACAAGGGAGCAAAGTTCCACTGACCTCCAGCACAAGGGGGCAAAGTTCCACTGACCACCATCACAGGGGGCAAAGTTCCACTGACCACCAGCACAAGGGGGCAAAGTTCCACTGACCACCATCACAAAGGGACACACTTCCACTGACCCCCCCAATGCAAGGGGACAAAGTTCAACTGACCACCAGCACAAGGGGGCAAAGTTCCACTGACCATCAGCACAAGGGGACAAAGTTCCACTGACCACCAGCACAAGGGGCAAAGTTCCACTGATCACCAGCACAAGGGGCAAAGTTCCACTGATCACCAGCACAAGCTAAAATCTTGGGTTAATAAAAACAAATGTATTAAAACTCACAGCTGGTCCAATATATACAGTGGGGATCGAAAGTTTGGGCACCCCAGCTAAAAATTTGTATTAATGTGCATAAAGAAGCCAAGGAAAGATGGAAAAATCTCCAAAAGGCATCAAATTACAGATTAGATATTCTTATAATATGTCAACAAAAGTTAGATTTTATTTCCATCATTTACACTTTAAAAATAACAGAAAACAAAAAAATGGCGTCTGCAAAAGTTTGGGCACCCTGCAGAGTTAATATCTTGTACTGCCCCCTTTGGCAAGTATCACAGCTTGTAAACGCTTTTTGTAGCCAGCCAAGAGTCTTTCAATTCTTGTTTGAGGTATCTTTGCCCATTCTTCCTTACAAAAGTCTTCCAGTTCTTTGAGATTTCTGGGCTGTCTGTCACGCACTGCTCTTTTAAGGTCTATCCATAGATTTTCAATTATGTTGAGGTCAGGAGATTGTGAAGGCCATGGCAAAACCTTCAGTTTACGCCTCTTGATGTAATCCCCCATGGATTTCGAGGTGTGTTTAGGATCATTATCCATTTGTAGAAGCCATCCTCTCTTTAACTTCAGCTTTTTCACAGATGGCATCAAGTTACCATCCAAAATTTGCTGAAATTTTATTGAATCCATTTTTCCTTCTACTCGTGAGATGTTCCCTGTGCCACTGGCTGCAACACAACCCCAAAGCATGATTGATCCAACCCCATGCTTAACAGTTGTACAGAGGTTCTTTTCATTAAATTCTGTGCCCCTTCTTCTCCAAACGTACCTTTGCTCATTCCGGCCAAAAAGTTCAATTTTAACCTCATCGGTCCACAGAACTTGTTTCCAAAATGCATCAGGCTTGTCTATATGTTCATTTGCAAAGTTCAAACGATGATTTTTGTGGTGAGGACGTAGAAGAGGATTTCTTCTGATGACTCTTCCATGAAGACCATATTTGTACAAGTATCTCTTTATAGTGGAATAGTGTACCACAACTCCAGTGTCTGCCAGATCTTTCTGGAGGGATCGTGCAGTCAAACGTGGGTTTTGAATTGTTTTTCTCACAATCCTGTGAGCTGTTCTGTCTGATATTTTTCTTGGTCTTCCAGATCTTGCTTTAACTTCCACTGTTCCTGATGACTGCCATTTCTTAATTACATTCCGAACAGAGGATATTGACATCTGAAAACGCTTTGCTATCTTCTTATAGCCTTCTCCAGCTTTGTGAGCGTCAACTATTTTCAGTTTCAGTTTTCTAGACAACTGCTTAGAAGAACCCATGGTGCTGATTGTTGGGGTAAGGTCAGATGAGTCTGGGCATTTAAAACCTTTGAGATTGACATAACCTGGTCTTCCCAGACGATGATTGAGAACAATACATGACACTGGCAGGTCTCAGCTTTGCAAAGGGGGCAGTGCATGCTATAAATTCTGCAGGGTGCCCAAACTTTTGCAGACGCCATTTTTTTGTTTTCTGTTATTTTGAAAGTGTAAATGATGGAAATAAAATCTAACTTTTGTTGACATATTATAAGAATGTCTAATCTGTAATTTGATGCCGTTTGGAGATTTTTCCATCTTTCCTTGGCTTCTTTATGCACATTAATACAAATTTTTAGCTGGGGTGCCCAAACTTTCGATCCCCACTGTATATATCCTTGGCAGCGCACTGACCAACCATGCGAAAGCTCGGACTAGTCGTGGCTAATGAGTTGTTATCATGTTATTTGATGCTCGGCTGCTGAGGCGATGCTCAGGCGACTTGGCTCGCATGCCAACAGAGAGGGCTCTGCGTGCCTGCTGCGGCACACGTGCCATAGGTTTGCCACCACTGAACTAGGAGATATTATGTCCTGATGTATGGGGAATGAGGAAATCA